CGTAAATTCCTAGGTTTTAGACCTTAAAACCTAGTTTTAAGATCTTAAAACCAAGGCTTTAAAGGTCTAAAACCTAGGTTTTTAAGGTATAAAACGCCCGGATTTAGGTCTTAATACCTAGTTTTGAGGGCGTAATTCTTTAGTTTAGTTCTAGAACCTTAAAACCTGGTTTGTAAGACCTTAAAACCTGTCGTTTGTGAAGTATAATACCCGGTTTTATGGCTTAACTAGGTTTTGTAAGAGGCTTCAAAACTAGGTTTTAGACCCTTAAAACTGAGTTTTAGACCTTGAAAAACCGGGTTTTAACCCTCTTAAAACCCGGTTTTTGACAGGTCTAAAACTAGGTTTTATGCTTTTTGGTACAAAATGCTTTCCATAAGTGTTACTGTTAGAATGATGATGATGACGATGGCAATGATGATGTATGTACGGGGTGGCTTGCATTCAACTAACAGTGCATATGAGCAGTGTTAGTTATGGCACTAATTGACCAACTTATCAGCCCTAGAAGGGTCACGAATATATGAGGAATACAAGAGTGATGGTGGCCCATAGATAGATAGATAGATAGATAGATAGATAGATAGATAGATAGATAGATATATAGCTGTGTGAGGAGCATATGCAGTGTAGATAAATTAAAATGATAATTACAACAACAACAATTATAACACCATCGCTGCCTGCATACATCACCCTGGGTGCGGGACGAAATAACACTGAACTAATTAATTTATTAATGAAGAATCAATTATATAATGGGCCCATATGTCGACCTACCTCGTTAGGTCTCTACCAGACAATCTAAACTTAACTGTGGTAAAATGTACATGTACACCACATAAAGCATCAACTACTGGCTAAGAAGCAGGAAATATCAAAACAGGCACAGTCAGTGCCACAGGCACTTGGAACGTCTCAATAAAAAAAAAGAAGTAAGTAAACACGAAATGTATTTACTACCAAAGTCTTAACGTTTCTGTAATCTATTTCGCCTATAATCACCTGTAAATGGCAGTCAAATGCTCATCTGCAACACACAAGTACACCGCACGCCCGTGCTGTGCACAAACAACATGAATAAGCATAATCCTCTATCATTAATTAAATACCCTAGGTATGAATATTTGGTGCATTTTTTGATTACTTGGTTGCATATTAATATCTCCTTCTCTATCCTTTCTTTGTTGGTGAATTTTATAAACATTGTATTTGTTTTGTTCATATTAAATTCTAATCTTTTTGATTCAGCTAATCTGGAGCATGACTGAGCGATTTTTGTTACTGTTTTATAATCTCCAATTCCTAGAATATCGTCCATATATAATCATTGTCATCTTCTAAAACTACAGATCATCCGCTGACCGCTGTGGAGACGTGCGCCGGGCCTCGAATTTGGCGCGCGTCTCCACTGCGGACAGCGCTTCATACTTGAACATCCCCGCGGTCGCGTGCGCATATCTCGCGGAACTGCGCGTCTCATCCGCGCGCAGCGCTTAGGATCAACAGCAAAGCTGTGCCACGCAATCTTGTATCATGTCTCTCTGGATCGGCCTGCATTAGATATCATAATGTAACCCAACAGAGTGGCACAGGTGTGAGACCGATGGGATTGCAGTTTGCTTCGAGGCATGTCTTCCAAAACCCCGCGGTCTAACTTCGAAAACTATCCACTTCATTACGCCAATTGGCGCAGATGGTTTATGAATTATTAATCAACAAAAACTGTTGCTCTTCTGTTGTTATTCAGGGCTTGGAAGGATTCGCTGCCATACGGCACACGCTACACACACACGCACTCACACGCACTCACGCACGCACGCACACACCCGCACGCTCTCTTATACCGCTCACAAGGCAACTACACACTCCACAAAAATCCCGGCCAGGCTAATACTACGGTTTACCAATACTACATGCTAAATACTAAGTGCAGTGTACATGCATGCATGCATGCCCATCACGCACTGTTCGCCTGTATGCGCATGAGTGTGAACGTACACCACATTACACTGAGGAAGTCTGACATGTAGGGACCGAATGCTACATCCATGAGGACACCGCCCCCACCCCACTATATAGCAACATACATATAGACTAGGTTTCCGCTTACCTTCTGTTGTGATAAGCCCAATTTATTCGGGGGATCACAGATTGCACGCGTTGCTTTAGATCGCACCCGAGCACTTCATGCACACACAACGTTGCACCTCAGATATAAACCACTCCTCTTCCTCTTACATCACATCGCTCACAGAACACATACGCTCACGCACACACACACATACATCCACATACATACACGCACGTACACGCACGCACGCACACATACATCCACATTCATACACGCACGCACGCACACACACATACATACACGCACGTACACGCACGCACGCATATACACGCGAGGTCAACCACGTAGAAATAGATGTACGTTTCCGATGAATTAACACTGCAGGTCCGTCTCACCCATACATATATTATCAAGAGTGCATAATACCTAGGTATTATTAGTTCTTGATACGCACGCACGCACGCACGCACGCACGCACGCACGCACGCACGCACGCACACACACGCGCACACACACGCACACACACACGCACACACACGCACACACACACACACACACATATATATATATATAAATGTTAACACACAGTGTGCCCGCCGTTTACACCAGTTGTTACTACCACTACCAGCACCTATTCATAACAGCAGGAGTAAACAATCAACAATTTGTTATTATTTACTCCTGATAACAGCAGTAGCATCGCAGCAGCAGCAGCTGAGAGTACAGCACAGCAGAGGCAGAACCCACGAACAACCGCACGCGACCACAACGTTCCGGGGGTTCGCGAACAACGGACTCGCTGAGAACTTCCGCTTGACCGCCTCACTGCCTCGCGCTCGCTGCTGCTGAACCGCACTCAGAGCGTCATCTCTCATTTATTAACCGCACTTTTTTATCGTCCCTGCCCGCTGCCGAAGCTCAAGGCTCCGTAAAGAATTCGACAGTGACAGTGATTTGCCGCTACATGCTGTACAGGTAGGCAGCGAGGGATTCAGCAACGCAGCGTACAGAAACATGGCTTCAGCACCTGTACAGGTAGCACAGCTAATTAACTTACATGTAGACGTGATCAATACTGCAATCATTCAATTGCATCACCGGCGCACCTGGACATATTCTTTGAAATTCATCAGTGCCTGGCATTATATTATTTCACGCAGATGATATAATACTGAACGATTAGTTTGTATAATCATACTGAGCATACATGGTTTTGCCAAGTTATGCCTGATTAATTTATCAAGCATGCCTATCGAACTACAACTACTGCTTTATGCAGCCAGGTAAGTTTGTTCTAACATGTATAAAACAGCATAGTGATTGGATGTAACCACAAGGCTGCATGTATTTCCACACATTTTACGAGAATGGCTTGTAAATAACGAACATAAAGCCATAACGAGGGTTTAGTACTCTAGGCGGCACAACGGTAGCAGAGTTGAATTCACTGGCACGCTTCCCATCTCGTAAACTATCAAATAGTAAACAGAGGAGTGACTGAGTGAAAGTGCTGAGTAGTGCAGTAATGCCGCTTGAAAGATAACATGAAGAAACCCGGTAGCAATTTGAAAACTTGGATGATGGACTCTGGCTCAGTGCCCACACTAGTAATAATTAATAAATCATGCAAATTTTATAGTTCATATTAAACCATAAACAGATTCGTCGTATCAACGTATGAGGAAATTGGAATCAATGTAAAATGTAAAATGAAAGAGTCGCCAGTTACTCTGGTTAGTTCCGCACGACACCTGTATTCCTCTATTGAATTGCTTGGGTGAGCGGACCTCTTACTAAACATGCGTGCTCAAAAACACAGGCACTTGGAGCGTTTCAATAAAATATAAGGCTAAATAAATACGAAATCTATTTACTACCAGTCTTAATGTTTCTCTACTCTCTTTCGCATATTATTGCCGACAGTATTATTCCTGTAAATGCCGTGCAAAAGTGACTCTATATATATGTGCAGAGCAGCATTTGCACGGCATTTACAGGAACTTGTCGGCAATAATAGGCGAAAGAAAGTAGAGAAACATTAAGACTGGTAGTAAATAGATATCGAATTTATTTAGCCTTATGTTTTATTGAAACGCTCGAAGTGCCTGTGCTCAAAAAACCTTTTACTTTTACAGCGAGCCAAGATATAACAGAGCACCGGTACTGCCCAGAAGTGACACAGACAGGCGAGAATGTACTCTATCAATTCCATTCCGCGGGGTCTCATGTGTCCATTTGTCCCTTACTGTCCATCATTCGTGTCAGTTAACAAGTTCCGGGGTGCACCAACTACTAAGTCTACTAAGTGGTACATTTCCTCGTAGGTCCTGTGTGCTGCAGTGGCTAGGTCGAGTGTAAACCGACCAGGCTCTCCGACTAGTTACACGGCGGAGGACGTCCTCTCGCCACGTAGTGTTAAGCGAGATGGGAATTTGTGGCTAGGTCGAGTGTAGAGTAGTGACCAGAGAAGAAGAAGATTTCCTCCATCATACCGGGTACACCCATGCTAACACATCTGCGGGATAGGCCCACTAATAATGACCAGAGCAGATTACACCAACAGATGACGAAGAGACGCGAACAAACAAACAACGGGAAAGCGTACGAAATCAGACCGGACGGGTAAGCATATCTATGGCAACCTCAAAACACGAGCTATGTAAACACTCGGGCTTAGTCTTTGTTACACCTAAGGGTCGTACCAAAGACTGGTTCAGTGACATCTGGTAACATGTAACCGGTTGGACCTGCAATGTATCCAGCGTTCACCCTTTGACTCCTATCTGGCATTACCCACTGGCTATCAACCTAGATAAAGGCACTCACACAGGAGAGGCTATGCGAAAGCATCCACACAATAACTGGGTGCGTATGGGCGGGTGTTGAGCTGTGGTTACCCAACTGTGGTCAGACTAGATTTCTGATCTCCTGCTTGGATTACATTTAAACATCCGAAAGGTTGCTTTCAATATGTCGCGAACTAGCCCAGCTGTCGCACATGTTCAGTCTACACTGTGACACAACTTGCCCGGGGACCCAATATGGCTTGACCGCGACATACCAGTAGGCTGTTGGACCACTACACTGCCTAGAAAAGCACTCACGCACGCACGCAAGCACGCACGCACGCACACAAGCACGCACTTACGTATTCCAGCCGAACTGTTAAGACTGCATGCTCGTCTCTATATATTGCTTATAATAATAATATACATCACGCGTCCGTTTCTTAGAGCTAGCACTCATCCAATGGCCCTCAGGCTACACATACCACAAGCGACTGCCTTCTGGTGACATTACAGCAGCACAGTACAAAATGGACTGATTCCACATATATATACATGTAATCAAGAGCTAATAATACAAGAGCTAATAAGAGGTATTATTAGCTCTTGATGTAATGTAAATGGTAATGGAATACTATTCTGATGTGCTGGCTTCACTTGCGTTACAACAGCAACATTACATTACAACAGCAACATTGCATTACAACAGCAACATTGCGTTACAACAGCAACATTACATTACAACAGCAACATTGCATTACAACAGCAACATTACATTACAACAGCAACATTACATGCTGGTCGTGAGGGCAAGTCAAACTACCAACACACTTTACACATAGCGCACAAGTCTATTGTAGCAGATAGGACCTTCGACTTCCCAACCGGTTGCGCGTTTACTGCGTTATCGTTTAACGGACACGCGCCAACGTGTAAAAACGGATCTCAATTTCACGTTTAATGGCACGCGTAATCATTGTATTTATACAGACCCCAGCGATAGTGGTATCGCTTCGCAGCGTAAAACCATGCCGCAACAAAACCACTCATAATTTACTATACTAGTAGGTACGCGAGTTAAAGGATTAGTCTGTTGGAATTCATCAACACCGAACATGTTTTTCTCAGGCAAATCAGCCATGTAGTGGTGTGAATGGCATGTACCAATATTTTACCCACGGACAGAGGCAGTGTGATCTAGATCAGGAGTCTATCAATAGATATCAATTGATAGACTCCTGATCTAGATCACTATAGGAATTTATTGACAAAGTGCTCAGTTTTAAACAGAGAGTAAAGATAAGGCATGTCAGAGATACCTATTATGACTATATAGACACGTGGAATTAGATTTGGAGTTGATCAAGAAGAAGAGGTGGAGGGAGTAGGACCAATGCTCATACACTGGACACAAAGACAGTATCATAAAAATTATGATGATGTGGAGATATGTGACATTTTACAACTCACACTCAGCTAAAGACAACATAGGGGATATTTGTGTGTTGTAGGCCTATCAACATAGAGATGCATATAGCGGCTGTATCAATTTCGCCAACTTGGTCTGAATATAGCTCAACAACTTTTTACCCAAAAAAAGCAATTGAACCAGAGCCAACACAATGGCATTAGTATGAACCTTTATAGCCTGCCATGTGATTTCTGAGACTAAAATAAAAACATCCTAACTGTACACAGAGACTACAGCAGCATTTTTTATTAATGCGAGTGTGTTTTGATCTATTAGTTGCAGATAACGACAGAGTAAACCTGACCAGCTAGCAGTTATTAGATATAAAAAACACCT